CGTTTGATTGGCCAGAGGTCTAGCAGGTCCAGATATTCGCCTGCGAATCTCCGAAAAAATTCGACACAAGAGCGAAAAAATAAAAGACTCTTTTCGCCCCGCGGAAAAATCGCCGCCGTTGTGGAAGCTTGCATTGACTTTATGATGTTTTTAAAAAAGGCGAATAAAGGTGAATAATTCGCCTGGCAAATTCACGCCTGGTGTGTAGGACCTTAAAACTGTGGGGTGGGAATGAACACAAGGTCCTATACTGGCATATTGTCACATTGTATTTAACATATTGGAGTGTTTTATGTATACAGGGACTGTTGTGGCTCAGAGGTGGAGTCTGTCATCTATCAACCAGAAGGCTGTGAGTTAGCTGCCACGTACTGAAATGTCCGCAAGGCAAGACACTTTGGCCTAAAACTGCCAGCTGTGTGTGTGGGATTGGCCACTAGTGATGGGAGCCTTACAAAGCTGCCTGTGCCATCACTATGAACACTGTAAATGAAGTCCATACTATATCAATATGGTCTTAAGTCAAGGGGCTTTATTTTCGTGCCTCGCCGGCGACGCGGCGTAAATCAGGTCCGCTGCGTCGACAAGGCGTTCCCAAGCACAATTTGGTATTTTGGTGAGCTGCGCAGCCTGGCGTAATCCCCCCTCCCTAACTCAGCTCCTCCCAGCGGCGTAAATCGTGGGGAGGGAGGAGAGAGGGCGTGGAGGGGGTTTAACACAGCCGAGACCTGTTTTTATCAATCACATAAGCTCCTCTCCTCGCCTTTAAATTCGCCACAGGCAATTTTCGTGAAGTAGTCAAAGAGATCAAGAGATGTCTGAACACAGCAATGCCACACAATGCCGACAGAGGGCAGCCCCTCAACAAGTGTCACCGTAAGCACTGCAGAGGGCGTCCTCCACACTCTCTCATATAAGCACAGATGGATTTGGTGTGTGTGTGTGTAATGTTGGACCCACTGGTAAAACAAACACCCTTTTCCACAAATAAAGACACTCACATAAAGTTGCATACTTAAACCTCACGTGACAAAGGTAGGTTGTGCGCACAGATCACAACATAAATTCCAATAATGGCATTAAAATCGGAACCATCTGTGCGTAAAGGACGCATCGCGCTCCGTGACCTGGCTCTTTCTTTTATAGATGTTGGCATATAGAAGAAGTTTGGCTCACAAAACTGAATATTATAATGTTCGTATGTAGGCTTAAAGTAAATAACTCATCTGAGCACTGAAACAAATCATCTGTTCAGCCGCCGCAGCAGCAGCTCCAGTAGGACGGGGAAAGGACACGGAGACATGTCCAGGTCGAGCTGCGTGAGAAATAAGAGGAAGAGGAAGAAAGAAAAGGAGGGAGACGAATTACATATCTTGTTAACTTCATCATGTGTGTTTATTTACTAGATATTTAATTTAATTTAATGCGGTTTCAGCTGTGTTCATTCGGTCAGGTTGTGTGTCCAAACGCGTGCCAAACGTGCTCATCAGATCAGATATAGATCAGAATATATCGATATAGATCTAAATGTATGTGCTGACTCAGATTATTAGTTGTTGTTGATTATTTATTGCACTGAAATGTGCCTGACACTGTGGAAACCTGCCGGTGAGTCATCGGTGACGTATGCGCACTATGCCGCTGGTCTACCAAAATACCACTAGACCAGCTGCGCTCCGCCTGCGCTGAAAGCTGACCGGGTTAAAATCGGCGAGCTTCCAGTGCACATAACACGCCGGTGGTGAGCACGAAAATGTCACTGCGCCCGCTGATTCTGTCGACACCTCCCCCTGCCACACCACCACGCCCAGCTTGGCGGACCTTGGTGCGCCTCAGTCCACGAAAATACCAAACTGGCTGTACGCCGGGCTCCGCCAGACGAAAATACAACTGCACGGGGTCTGCCACTCTCTGCCGCATTGCCGGCGGACACGAAAATAGAGCCCTAGGAGATTATGGTCTGGATGGTTCATTCCACCTGTGGTGATAATATTGTGTCCTGAATGGTCTCCAGTTTTCAACATATGGTTCAAGTGTGACACTGCAGAAGCAGATTATGGGCTCTTTGCCTCCTAGCCATAGATAAACACCAATATGGATTAACTGTTGTGATCATGTATTTGATATCTCCTCATACATGTCAGCCACCCCTGATCCTGTCAGGACGCTATCTCAGGAGTCCATCTAAGACACTGCCTTACTGTCTGTCTGTAACCCCTGCTTTGTCTCACAGGTCAGATTTACAGAGTTCACTCATGTCTTCAGGAAAGTTTACTACTATGTTAGTTCATTTAGCACGAGAGTATTTCTGTGTGGCCATAAAGACTGCTATAAAGGGATCACTGAGGCTGACCTCTGTTCAGCCCATAAAAAGATCTTGTCTCTGATATTGTCACTGATATATAAGCGGTGGCGGCAACTGAATAAGCCCGTCCAGCTCTGTCTTTGTTGCCTTTTTTGTGTTTTCCTCTTTATCGCATTGTCTGCTTTTTAATGAGATCATCCCACTGTCTTCCCCCTGCACCTTTGTCCCCATCTCATGTGCTGTAATACATTTTATCCAGCTAAGCCTGGATAAACATTAATGCTTTGTGAATGCAACCAATCATACAAGGAAAAAATTGTTCTTTTTTGATGCCAGGTGGCTCTGCTGTTGTAATAGTGAATCTTCCTGGAGCACAGAAATGTCTCACAGCCTTTCTTTCTCACCGCAACAGAAAAATAAACGTTCCATCCTTTCACACCAAACAGCCTAGTGTTAATACAAGATGATGTTTCTCTAACAATGATGAGACACATGCTGGTTGATGGGCTATTGGGTCTAAAAATAAATCTGTGTAATTAGGTGCTTCATTGTCTGCCATGTTGGTTGTAATAAGTAATTCTGTATTATTTCTCTGGCTATGCCAAGCCATGCGCTCAGTGTTTGAGTTCAAATATCAACAAACTGTGGCTTTAAGCAGTCAAGCAGTGATTTCACCATGTTCAACACCTCTGATGTAAGGGCTTCTCCAGCCAGTCTGCATGTCGCCAGTGACAGAGATGATTAGCTCCGATTATCCTTCTTAATTGTATTGTTGTTTCTACAAACAAAAATGGTCCACATTAAAAGGACTCATTACCTTCACTGTCTGCAATCACTTCTTGGACCTAAAGTCATCGTATGTTCTAAAAGCTGCAATAAACCTTCATGCAACAAAATAGATCTAATTAAAGAGGGGGTTGTGCATTTTTTAAGACGATACATTTCCTTTCTGATACCTCTTTAATAGCTGTACATGATTTTCAGATCAAAAAGGCCTCACATTTCTCATGGTGGTGTATACATCAAGGACCAAGTTAACCATAAATGATTTGTGTCAAAAGTATTCAGGGAGAGGAACAGGTCTAAATATGTACAATATGTTTGGTTGTTCAACGTGGAAACATTTCAAGTTGAACTTTTTGTGCCAGAGTCCCCCTGAGCCACCAGACTCAATGATCCCTAAACCTTACAGTTCAGATTACAACCAGGAAACAAGTAGGAAAGAGTTAGTTCAGGCATGATACAAATACAGAGAAGTTAATAGAAGATGGCTGAAATATCAGAGTGAGACAGAAGAGACATGCACACGCATCTCCCTCCATTAGTCTCTCCTCTGTTCATCTCTCTCTTTCTCCTCTCCCTCTCTAAACCCAGCTCAGTCTCAGCAGATGACTGTCTAACATCAGTCTGGTTCTGCCCGAGGTTTCTGCCTGTTAAAGGAAGTTCTTCCTCTCCACTGCTGAAAGTGTTTCACTCATGTGGTTGAAGATGGGATGGGATTTGGTCTGATCTGACAGGATAGATCCTATCTTTACATTGGGTCTTTGTCAATAGAGTCTGGTCTAGACCAGCTTTTTTGTTAAGTTTAGCCAGATAACACTTGTTGTAAATAGGCACTTTATCAATAAAGGTTGATTGATTAAACGCACAGGAGTGAATTTTATACAGAGGAAAAGCAAAACAAAACAAGGAAATAAACAACAATGCTTTTGTGTCTGGCATGAGTTTTTCTTCACCATCTTCACCATAAGTTTTCAAGGTAATAATAACTCAGATCGAGAATTGTGTTTGAAAGCATTTAAGCAATGATTCAGTTTAATAAAGAAAGAAAGTACAGAGAAATAAACTTATTTTTCATATGAACAACTTGCTTGCACTTTCACACCAATAAGCCTTCTCTCCCTCCGTCACCTTCTGTCACTAATTGAGCAAACACCATCCTCAACACTTCAGCAGGGACGTGCTAGAGAGGCCCACTAATCCTCAAGTGCAAATCAGTGATAGCGCTCACTGCTTTCAGCTAATGAAGAATGAGAGGAAGGCTGATGAGTAACAGAGACGGACTGACAGAAAAGGAGATGGCTTTTCATTCTGAGTGTTTGAGAGAGTTATATCTGATTACACACCAAAGTATGAAGCCTAGGTTTCAGAGTGCCACTGCTACTGCTTTTCTAAGAAGGGCTGAAGAGGAGCTGTGACTGCATCTCTCTAGTGTTGTAGGCGCTGCATATTGAATTACAAATAGGTGCAGCATAGTTATATATGAGGAGACAGACCAATGTTGTTGGCTCACAGACATAAGAGAACTCAATACTGTTTATCTCTCGAATATTGGCAAACCTTTTTGTTTTGTTTGGAAGCCGACCTGAATATCATAGCAGGTAAAACAGGGTTGTCATTGTTGCTGCTGAAGCATGATGAATATTATTTTGTATGGTAGATGAAAAGGTACTAGGCCCAAATATTATGTATTATATGTGTGGATAGGCTGTGTACTTTGTCATTAGAGAGAAAAGCAATAAGATCGTTAGCTAATAGATGCCCAGTTTTCATAGAGGGGACACAGATGGAATGAAAGTGAAAATAGGCCTCCATTTTTTTCATGTACAGCAAGTTTCAGGCTGCATCCCGCCTTTAACACCACCATCTCTGCAATGATCTCATCCTTTGCATCGCCGCCTTACCACGCTGCCTTTGATTTCAAGAGCTGAACTATTCTGCAACATTTGTTGATGTGGTTCTGCAAGTAAATGCTGCAGAATTGTGCTCCTCTTGGAATTGTTCTTCTTCGCTGACCAGGAGAGGAGCCCACCATCATCGGCTTTACACCGCCAAGAGTCAAAGGGCGCCCTTTACTTTTGCACATAGCTCTACATGTACAACACATATGCAAATAGTGGAGGAAAGTCAAGTCAGGCTGAATTCATGGTGCAAATGGGTTAATGTAATTGCTTGACTGAGAAGAAAGTCTTAGTTTGAAGCTTAGCTGGTATTTGGTGTCTTGTGGAGAAAAACAGTTTCATTATACCATGACCGTTAGATTGATTTCAGTTCCTATGTTAGCCTATTCTGTTTAACTGTGCCTATCAAGGGCGTAGGTTTGGTCTCAACATTGGTAGGGATGATATAACTGCATAACCTGCATGTACATTTTCTGCTGGGGACGGGACGTTAATAAGACTAAGGCTAATAAGACTTCATGTACCACAAGAGTAATACATTGCTTTAATTGGTTGTCTCTTTCACCTTCTTCTCCATTATTTTCATCTCTAAACTGCATCAGTATTTGGTTGATTATGGAAAAAATCTAAATCAAGATTAAATGAACTTTTTACCTCAATCATGATTAATGTATGATTGACCGGCAGATTAAACAAGTGAAAAAGGGTAAATGTAAGTCAGAACATAATGAAAATAATTCACTTAATAATGGTAGGGTCGATTCTATCCTTACAAAATATGGGAAGACAATTGCCTATATAACTGCACTCATTATATAATGCAAATAAAGTTGCTTAAAAGTTGGTGGGGACAATTTGAGCACCCTGAAAAGTTGGTAGTGTTATGTCCCTACTGTCCCTATGCAAACCTACGCCCTTGGTGCCTATGCAATTGTTACAGGTCCCGTAGATGAGACCATGTACCAGTTAATAATTATGACGATGCCGTCTCTGACTCACAATGGGCGTACTAATTTGTGTTGTGTTTCACGAACCTGCAACACATCAAAGAATGGAGACAGAGACAGGCGTTCACTCTTGGCCTTTGCATAAATACAGTCTTTATTAAACACATTTCTTTCCAGTGGCTTATTCCCTCATTCGCGTTATGACGCCATATAATTAATGTTAATCGAACAAAAATATCAAGATACTTTCTTTACAATAACAACAATCTTACCCTCACAAATTCAACATGACATATTCCTTTATATTCGCCTTTACTATGCTCTTCTGTACTTTTCAATTAACATTTACTATTTATAGAGAATTCTCCTTGCACAAAACCTACCGGTTTATTCTGAATAAGCACTCTGAAATATCATAACCACAAACCCTCCAAATCAAGAACTTTGGCAACCTCTGTGTGCGTGTCTGGATGTATGTGTGTGTCTGAATGCCCGGATGCGTGTGTGTGTGTATGTCCACGCACCTGCGGGCGTGTGTGCTCGTACACATACGTACCCGTATGTACCACAATACACGGTAGCGCTAGCATGCTTGTGTTCGTGAGCCTGTACGTGTGGTGTGTCTGTGAGTATGTGCATGTATGGTGTGTGTCCCGGAGCATACGTGTGTGCATATTTCACCTAATTTGTGTTGTGTTTTACGAACCTGCAACACATCAAAGAATGGAGACAGAGACAGGCGTTCACTCTTGGCCTTTGCATAAATACAATGAGGGCAAGATGGCGCCCCCCACTGCTGAAGCCAAGCCATCGCTTCACACTGCCCCCTAATGTTCTGGATGAACACTGGTTTTCATTCCCAAAACTAAAGAAATTATGGGCTGATTAACATATAAACAGAGAACATCTAGGTAAAATACAAATGGTTTATACAAAAAAAACATTTCATTTGTGACCACACATTCTTGGGTGTCACACAATGGTAAATGAAATAAAACTGAAAAGGAAGATTGTCTAAGTATAATGTGCATGCTATGGTTTTCCTGAGCACCTCAACATTTACTTGAAATTGCCCATGGGTAGTGCTGGGCGATAGAATGATAACGATATATAACAAAAATTTGTGTTCCTCAATATCAATATAAAACATGGTCATTATGCTTTTTTAATAGTCAGTATTAAAAAGGAGTAAAGTGCGTTCTCCAGGATTTAGCCAGGTTTAGAGCGGTAAGGTGTAAGATGTGTGTCCCCGTTGAAAGACACTCATACAAATGTCCAGTTTAGTGGTGGATTTATTTGACTGTGGTTCGGCAGATAAAGGTACAAAGCAACAATCAGTACAGCTCACACCGTACATTACATAAACATAGAGTGGCATGAGATAGCGTTAGTCATTTTCAGAGTAATCAATACCTTAACACAATATAGCATCCGACTTGGACAGTAAAACAACACAACATAACATAACATAACACTTAACTATCCTCTGCTGCATGAGGAGGAATACTAAACTTTCGCAGCTGCCGCATCTCACACAAAGGTGCAGTGTGTTCATTTGCGTCAGAACGAATGAACGAAAATACCATAAAACATAATATAACTGAACAGTATTTGCTTGAAAAAACCTAAACAACATGGGCTTCCTAACATGCATTCTGCCATATTTTGGTAGACTAAGCAAATAGCCAATGAAAAGGGGAGTTGCTCAGGGTCCGCTTCGCACTGAACCAATCATGTGCTGAATTAGAACCAAGTAGCAAACAACTGCGTAGTAGCAGGCTGCAGCTACACACAACCGTAACACTTAAACATGTGAAGCCGACAGAAAATGAGTGCTACCGCTGGCAGAGATGGAGATGAAGGCTTGACAGATGATGACATCGTTGACAACACTGGCACCAAGACGTCGGTGGTGTGGAGGTATTTTGGCTTTTTGAGGTCGGACATGGAGCAGAGTAATGTACACTGCAAATTATGTTGAGTACATGTTCTCACAAAGTTGGGAATACCTCAAATCTTTTTCACTACCTGAAGCAGTGCCACGCGGCAGAGCATGCACAATGCAAAAGGTTACAAACCCCGAGCAGAGCAAGGAACCCATGGCACCTGAGCAGCCGAAACAGCCGACCATTCAGTCCGCTTTCTCTAGCACAACGCCCTAAGACAAAACATCCAAGAGACACGAAGACCTTATACATGCAGTAGCTTATTGAACTGCAAAAGACATGCTACCAATAAGCACTGTTAAATTTCATTTTTTATATTGTGATTTATATCGAAATCGACTGTTATGAAAAAAATATATTGTGATAAACTTTTTTCCATATTGCCCAGCTCTACTCACAGGTAAAGGACAAACACTGTTGCATCAACCCAGCAGACATTGGACTGTTAGAAATGGTCCGATGACCTAACACATGATAATAACGGCTTTCCATAATATCCTTTAATATCACAGTTTGCATTCAGAAAAGATCAACACTTTTATAAATGCAGTCCATGAATAATGTGAGTGGAGTCTGTGCAGAAATTAGAGCTCATATATCTTTGCAGGCTTGAAAAGTTGGTATTGCACTCATCATGGAAAGCATCATTATCCACTGAAGAAATTTTTGTTCAGCATACTAGCTATGAATGCAATTCCTGCTTATTATATATCCAATTGTAATAAGCACCCTTTCAACAAACAGCCAAACTCCTCACACTATCTATTTCTGTTAAGATCAGACAATAAAGGAGCTGGAAAAGAAAAATATTCGACAACCAGATAAACAAAAGAAGCAGGAGTCCAAGCAGACGGCCATAGAGAACACAGTCTAGGGACAGACAGACAGTCTACTCTTCATTCACGCCCTTCCTCCAAGTTGCTCTGGTATTTTTCAGGTCCAGAAGGTATGAAGTAGTCTGGTGCCTTTGGGTCCGGCCCAGAGCTTTGAGTCTGTGCTTGAAGATGTTCTGGATGAGTTCCAGAGCTCATTAACCTTGGGCAGAGAGCCTACAGTTAGATCAGAGCCCCAAAGGCCAGTGGATCAGGATATTACTCTCTGAATTCCTGCCCAGCTTTAGTTTGCTTGCTCCAAATATTTGGAGCAAGCATATCTGTATACATTTGAATGTCTACACAGTGCAACTGACAATCTCAAGTCTGCATATCCAGGCAGGATCTGAAGCTCAGGGACAAGAATCCATGTGTCATTAGAATGTAAGTGTCTGTTTATTGTCCATGTAACACCACCCTCTGGTACTTCCAGGCTTTGTTTGTATGTAGAACAACTGAGGAGCAAAAAGGGAAATGTTTCTGTAACTGTCATGGATTTTTTGCATCTTTAGACAGTGGTCTGTTGAGGATCTAGCTTTTCTGATGATTATTTACAGAAACCTCCATAGAGATGCTAGTAACACTCCAGTCTAACTCTTGTCATGTCCAAGGTAGTCACAGAGGCAATGACCAGGAACACAAGGATGGAAAGATGTCAGGATTTATTTTCATGCTGGATCCACTGTAGACCTCCCAAAAATGTGTATATGGATCCTCAGAATCCCTTTGGAAAGACGTCCAAATAACATAAAATATTTGTTGTTCAGTAACACTCCATGTGAAGGTCATATTGCTAATAAAGAACCCCGATAAAGTGCTGTAATGCCAGTGTAACAAGTTTGAAGAGCTGACTTAAATCCTTCTTCAAAAGAAAATATTATAATATAATAAAGTAATATGTATGTGTTGACTGCAGACTTGATAATACCACTAAGCAAGTCTCAGTTTCTTCTGCACTTCCACCGGATCTCTTAAAATATCTTCAGTGGGGTCTGGTGCCAGGATCAGCACATATGTTCATCATGAAAGCATTCTTCCATCTCACATGTATGTATACAACACAGTCTGTTCACCCAGCAAGGGTTCTGTAAGCCAAAGGCAGACACGACTTGTCTCTTCAGCATTGTAACATGAAGCACCATGCTGAGAACACAACCATGCAGGTAAAGGTAAACACACTTAAGAAATGGGCTTCACAGAAAATGTCACTCAGACTGAAATTAATATTGAAGTTTATGTGTCATACCCATGATTCAGGGATAAGGACCTCACAGAAGAAGAAAAAGACACACACACACACACAAAAATCCAGCTCTTTCCTTGCGGTGCTTTTTT